ATCATCATCATCATCTTCCTTTTTTATTTTTGTTTTTATTTTGTCCTATTAAACTGTTTTTATCTCAATCAATTAGTTTTTTGTTCCTTTTCCATTTTCAATTCTGTCCCCCATCCCACTGGGAGGGGGGAGTGAGCGAACAGCTGTGTGGTGGTTTTAGATGCCTGCCAGGTTAAACCACAACACATGGCCATCTCCTCTTCCCCTAGGTAACACATCAGGAGAAGCCCCAGCAGCTCTGCTAGCTCTGGAGTGGAGGCTCTGTTCCCCAGGAGAGGTGAGCACTGCCTGCCAGCTGGGTTAGCAGGGGGGTAAGAAAGCAGAGCTGGTATCATGAGGCTCATTGGAGAAGCCATGGGACACTCATGGTCCCCCTTTGGTCTCCAGCTGGGACCCATCCCTGAGCTGGGCTCAGCCACCACCTGCCTGGCAGCCTCCTGGAGGAGCTGAGGATGCTGGCTCAGCCCTGGCTCAACCCCTAAGCCTTGAGTCTCCAACAGGAAAATGAAAACTGAGGCCCACTTCAAGACTCCTTCTTCTCCCAGGAGAGGAGCCAGGCACCGTGAACCCTGCAGTGATGCAAGGTGAGCCTGTCCCTGTGCATTGCAGTGTGAACTCCCACCCTGGATGCTGGGGACAGCACTTACAGGGCAGCACATGGGGATATCTGTTCTTGGAGACATTTGCTGGTAGCTCGGCCTCCACCTTCGGCTGCTCCTTCCCAACTTCCTTCAGCTCCTGTAGGACAGGGGAGAAGATAAGCACAAATGTCTCTCTGGAGAGCTCCTGGTCAACCCAACTCCCTGCTCATGGCCAAGGGCTCTGTCAGGTGGTTCAAGAAGGTCACCTTTGCACAGGGAACTGCTCTACCCTCCCTCAGTATGGCCTGTGAACTCTGAGCCATAGGTGGCTTTTCCCAGCACCTTTCCCAACAGCACTGTTTGTATTTAAAAGAAAACAAGCCCAAGAACAAGTATTGAGGAAAAAAAACTTCTCAGAAATCAGAAATCTACCAAGAAGCTCCGAGCATTTTGTGCTGAGAAAACAGAAACATCTTGTGCTGCAAAACCAGAAATATCTTGTGCTGCTTCTGCCTCTGTCCTCACTCAGAAGGCCAGATAAGGATGATCTGAGGAGGGTCTAAAATTGCCAACGGGACTTTCAAAGATGCTGGCAGCAGAACAATTCAGAGCCTGCAGGTGCTGGCAGTGGGACCCAGTGAAGGCAGCCTGAGGTGAATTTCACAGTCTGGCCCTATAGCTCTCAGAGTGCTCCTCAACCTTCCTTTTGGCTGCAGGCTCTTTCTAACACTGTCAAGGTGGATCTCATTGCAACAGCACTCAGCATCTTCACCTCCAGTCCAGGCCTGGGGCCCTTTGCTTTGTTCACCAGCAGCTGTGGACAGTGCTAGTTCACCTCACACCACAGACAACATGTATTTCTACCAGAACTTGAACAAAACAGGTTTTGAGCAAAGGAATTGCCTGATCACTTGGTCCATCCAATCTATGGCCTCCAAGACTGCCTAGTAGGGTGGTTGGATTGCTAGAGAGATGGGTTACTGTCCTTGGAGATGAGGAGTCCGTACAGGCCACCCAACAGCTAGGGCATGAGCTACCTAGAGGGGAAATTAAGTCTCATCTCTTGTAGAGTCTCATCTCACCTCAAACTCCTGGAAAAAAGCGTGGTTAGCACTTGCTGTCTTCATCTCATAGTACTGCTTGAAGTTCTGTATGGGAATTGGCCGATGGACATGTCTGCATGAAATGAAGTCCAGAGGAAAACTTGCCTTAGCTATTGGGAGGTCTGGCAGGCCAGTCAGGTGGCCAATGAGACAGCCCAGCTTGTGACCTGCAGTACCTGGATGCACACACACAGGGATGGTTTATTGCCCACGTCATTGCCCAGGGAAGTGGGTCCAACAGAGCATTGTTTAAATACTGGGAGGGATTTCAGGATAATGAGGATATTCTCCTACTGCAGAAGTCTTGCAGAGGAGGTGTGGACAATGCATTGACCCAGATTTGAGCTGGGCAATAAATACTGAACATAGGAAAGCCTAAGTTTTAAAAAATAACTGAGGGAGAGGAGACAGAGTGGGATATTTCCTGAGTCAAAGCAGGAGAAAGAAATCGGTGAAGGACTCTGGGACTTGCAGTGGGGCATGCAGAGAGGGAAGACTCCAGCACTCACCTCAAGCTGTAGGTCACCATTTCCTGGGGCAGGCTACTCTTCTTGGTTCTAGAATCAGAGCATGGAAGATGTTACAGGGACAGATGCTGTGAGGGTACTGCGTACTGCTGGCTCTTGGAGCACTTGTGAGCAGACAGCTTGCATCCAGCACACTGCTGTGCACACGTGTAGGGTTCTGTGAATTAATTGCACACAAGCAGCTCCCCTCTCCCCTCTGCTTTTTGCTTCTGTGCTTGCCAGGCACAACTCCACTAGCGGGTGTCCTGCTTTGCCTAAATCTCTGTTTATACCCTCTCACTGCTCTTCTTCCTGGCCTGGCAATGAAGGTTGGGTTTCTCAGCCTGCACCCACTGTGTAAGAGATGGCTCACCCTCACCTCTTTGCTCTGAGCTGTTTCCAGTAGACCAAAGCAAAAATAGCTGCAAGTGTTAAAAGAAATCCCACGATGATTCCAGCGATTATTGGCATTGAGAGTGGACCTGTGCCTGCACCGGATCCAGCAGCTGGAATACAAAAGTGAGAGAACGGACAGAAGATCCAGTAAATGGCTGCGTTTACTCTATTTATTGTATTTGCCACCGCCTACGATCACCCTCTGGCTTGCCAAGGTTGTTAATTATCTCTAATCTACACAGCCAGGTAGGGAAGATGGCATTCTCCATCTTACCTGAGAACATGGTGAACGTCACTGCAGGGGCTACTGGGTCGTATTTTGTGAAGGCAGCGATGCTGAACCTAGGGAAAAGCAGAGTCCTGTTATCAGGGGCAATCTAAACTGAGCACAGCACCCACACAGCCAGCAGCAGGAAGACCCAAGGGAATGGGACAGCTGCCTCTGTTTTGAAATGCTGTATTGGAAGAAGCTGGTTTTCTGTTAGGGATTTAGAAAAAGCGTGGAAATGGTCCTTCCTCCCTTTTATGCCTCTTTGAGAAGTTTGTTGCACTTGGGAGAACATGAGAAAATATTCAGAAAGGACAAACAGGAAACAGCTCTCCTCCAAAGGGTTATTTGCAGAGACAAGTAACAAGTTTCTGCTCTCATATAGGACACAAATAGGGAAAAAAATCAAACTGGGTTGAGCCACTGTCTTAGTTCACATCAACCCATTAACTGGGTTGACTTGAAAGCGCTGAACCTGCGTAACAGTTTGAAACAGGGGCACCTCAGCTGGGAGGGCTGAGCACTGACCCAGACCCTTCCTTATGCACACACAAGTGGCTGGTGCATCCTCGTCCCTGTGGAGATCTGCCCTGCGTCCTCGTCCCGGCAGTGTGCACACCAAGCCTCACAGCTCCCTGCAGAGCCGACTTCTGAGCAGGTAACTTGGAAGGGTAGGTCTTCTTGTGCCCTAAGTGCAAGCTAAGGCTTTCAAACATAGCTTTAGATTTTAGCAGCCAAGAGTTTGTGGAGCTTAGTGTGAGTCCCCTCCGGCAGCACCCCAGACCCAGCTGCCAGAGCAAAGACCTCTTTGGAATCTGAGCCCGCAGATGCCATGGCATGAGAGATAAGGGCTTGGGGATAAATAACTCACTAAAAGACAGGAAACAAGGGCTGGCTTTCAGAGTGGAGGTGGGCTGTCAGAGGTATCTGCTTTCCACCAGTGACTAATGATTAACTAGAAAAGCAGCACAGAGTACTGAGGATACACGTTGTTTAGGGCAGCCAAAATGAAAGCAAGCTGTGAAGAGCTGCAAAAGGATCTTCTAGTCCTGAGTAACTGGGCAGTTAAGTACATATTTTTGAATCATGGTAGGTGGACTAATGACAGCCTGATGGCTCTGAATTAGCTGCTGCCCTGCGGGAGGTAGGTGTTGGAATGAAAATGGCAGCAGGGAGGGCAGATGTACACTCTCAGACTGGCTGGACAGTATTGGAGGGGTGGAGGAGTATCCCTGCATCCTTGTGCTGCTGTTGAATTCCCCTCGAGGCTGGTGGCAGATCGTGGTCTGAGCCAACGCGTTGTAACGCAGACCCAGCTTGCGCCCAGGCTGTCTCAGCGGGAGCAGAAGGCCAGATCGGAGGCTGCTGGGTTACCTTGCCGTGCCTGAGGGTAAGTCAGGCAGGAGCCGTTAGCAATAAAGAATAGGTGGCCTTGATGGTTAATCAATCTCAAACCTTCTGAATCAATTGGAGAGATGGGAATGCATCATCATGCAGTTCTGCTGCCAGGTGTGACAATGCAGACCCCATGGAGAGCCCGAAGAGCTGTTTGCTCTTGATGATCCTACTCTGTGTGGCATTTCCATGGGAATGGCTCTCTGGAAACTCTCTTTTTTTTCCCAGAAGCAGCCATTTCCCTCAGCCCTGATGCAGCCCAGCGTTAACACCAATCTCTGTTCTGTGCCAGTGCTGCCCCAAACAGCAGTTTCAGTTAAAACCCCCCGTTTGGCAACATGTAAATCTAAAGTGACTCTGTAAGAATCAGTGTAAGTTTTTCATGCAAGCACAGAGTCTGCACATAGCAAAAGTAAAGAAAGTGAAGCAGAAGAAAAGCAGAAAGGAAAGCAGGTCCAAACCCAACAACAGGGACCTTGACTCCACTCGCCACAAAACTTAAGGGCAGATCTAATTCTTGCTTTACTCGTAGGGGAAAGTGAAGCGTTCTCTCATGCACACGCTGTCTCATAGTCTTTCTTTCTCTTTTCCCAACACTGTCAGCAACTTCTATCACTAGTCAGCCACCCTTGCTGTACGTTTCTTTAAGTTGAAATGGGATAACCTTCCGGATTCTGGGGGATCGCTTTGTCAGAGAAATGCCTGGGGAAACAGTCCCTGTTTGATGAAATTATGAGCTGCTAAATTAACAGAGGACTGACTAAAGATATGATTCTTTGATTGTAGTAGAAAACCTGTTTTACCATCAATTATTTAAAGGTACCCTATAACAAACTATATATGTTTGTACATTCATGTTCCTGGATTCTACCTACTGTCAAATAAAACTCTGAATTTATGAATATTGTGATGTGGCACCTTGCAGGGGCACATGTGGTCCCTTTTCTCCTCCAGCCCTTTCCCCTCAGGAGGGATGTTGACATCTCTCACCTGTACTGTTCGTTGGCTTTCAACTTCCCGTTGCACGTTGCCCTGGACTGGCCGCACTCCTCTGTTCCCATCGGCACTCGCCAGGTTTCGGGGGAGCTCCTGGGGCTCGAGTGGAAGGGATTGGGGATTAGCACAGCCAAGTAGGAGTCCTCTGTCCCATAATAGTGGTCATACCACGTGCTGGACATGCTTTCCTGGGTGGGCCTCAGTACTGAAGGGGAACGTACAAGGTGACAGTCCCAAAGTGACGTCCAGGGGACCTGCTGTCCTCTAGGGAGCCACTGCAGATTGGGATGTGCAGGGGCACTTACGTGAATCGTTTGTGGTAGCAATGACACCATAATACTTGATCTGTCCGTTCTCCTCGCTGAACAGGTCAGATGAAATGATAACTGTAGAGCTGGCCTCCACCTGGAAGATGTCTGCTTGCAGAGGTGGAGGCAGGGCTGGAAAAGGAACCAGTAAGCACAGCCTGTTAGTGTGTCCCTGCTCCTACAGACCCACCACACATTGCTCAGCCTGTGACTGGTCCCAGCATCACTGCCCAGAGCCCTGACCCACTGCAGTTCAGTGCAGGACCACATGGGGCTCACAGGCATCCGAAAGAGTCCCAGGTTTAAGTAGCAACACTGGGTGTCTTCTGGGGTCTGTGGCAAGGTTGTGGGGAAGAAGGGGACTCACCCTCTACTGTTGTGTTGCAGAGCAGCGTCACAGCCTGGCTCCTCATTGTGTTCATGCCCACTGTGCTCACAACAATTCGGTATGACGAGTTTGGCCCCAGCCCCTCTAGACTGGCCTCGCTCGTAGGGATGCTCATGACATACTTGGAGGTGGGCGGTCCATTAGAGAGTCTCTCTGTCACCACCTCATAAGCCTCCACATCTCCAGGAGAGCTGGTCCAGTTCAAGTACAGGCTCCTTGACTCCGGTAGGCATTGCACATCCTCCACTGGGTTTGGCTCTGCAAAGGAGACATGGCAGGCTCTGAACTCTGGATTAGAGAAATCCCAACCTCAGCCCAAGTGCCAGCCCAGAGCCACTATGTTCCTCTACTGCCTGTCCCTAGGTCAATGAGAGAGGAACAGAGCTGGACATCTGTGACCTGGGAGCCTTCTGTGCCAAGTGCCACAGGAGAAGGCGAATGGGACCTGAGCAGATGTCTTATAGGAGAAGCAGACCAATGGAGATGTCTGCAGAGTCTGCTTTGCTTCACAGGTAGCCAGACCACAAGATGACGGGAAATCTCTGTGATGGGGCTAGCTTAGGGAGCTGATGGCTACCAGAGGGTCACCTTGCTGGTTTTCCTTAGCTCCCACCATGAAGACTTCCCATGCTTCTGTTGACCGCCAAGGGCTAATCCAGGTGTTTCTCCCCCTTCCAGCCTGCGCTCCCCCCATCCCCATGGCAGAGCATACCCACCCATCGGCACCACCAAGGGTTTGGTGCTGCTCCAGTAAGGCCCGGCCACGCAGCTCAGGGAGACAGAGTAGTTCCTGCCTGGGATCAGCCCCTGGAGCAGGTGCTGGACTTGCCCTCTGCTGAGGGTGTGCCGCCAGGGCAGCGTGCCGTTCCTGGGATCCCGCAGCCACAGCTGGCAGTCGTCCTGCTGTCCAGAGACACTGCCCCAGGAGATAAGCATCGTGTTGTTCCCTTCAGCCACCGCAGAGAGATTTTTGGGAACTGAGGGGGCTACAATGAAAACCACACCGGGGAGAGTTACTGGCCTGCATGTACTGTCTTCCATCCTATAGAGATACAAGTAGAAGATGGGTAACATGCAAGGAAACTTCGTATGTTCAGTGATAACATTTCTGCAGCTGCTGGCTGCCGCTACCAGAAATGATCTTTAAATGGCAATTGGAGGACATGCAGAGTGAGGAGCACAAGAAGATGGAGTCTTCCTCCTGCTAATTAGGAAGTTTTATTAGAGACCTGCCTGAAGGGCTCTGCACATGACTCCCACTGCCCTGCCAGGGGCTGGCTGAGCGTGGGAGCAGAGACCTCTGGATTCCCCAAGTAAAGTGGGGACAAGCACATGAAAAGGCTTATTGTGCTTATCTGCAATTTCCACATTCCTTAAAAAAAAAAAAAAATCCCAGCCTCCCCTTATCCACCATGCCAGGAATTTTCTGAGTGCCTGGGAGAAAGGCAGAGGGGATGGTGGGGTGTCCTCTCCTGGCTGAAAGGCCTCGTGGTCTCCCAGGCTGTGGGTATCTTCCACCAGAGCAGCACCACTGCCATGGGATCCATTGCTCTTGTTTGGTCACCCATGCCTGGAGGAGCCAACCTGTGTGGATGGCAGGGCCACAAATTGGAGGTCTGCTGCCTGAAACAGCACCCATGGCTGCCAGGCTGTCCTATGGGCAGCAGTATTGCCCTGCTCTCCCTTCCACTGAGGGCTGGCACAGCCCATGACCCCATTGCTACGGTGGTACCTACAGCTTCCAGGCAGCAGTCCTAGCCATGTCCCTGCCCCTTCCCACTGCAGGGGCTGAGCATACCCAGCTGGGGAAGGCTGCACCTTGTGCATGATGCAAAGACCTCCAGCTCTTGCCACTTACTTGTCCAGTCGCTGATGTTCCCTGCGGAGGCTGTGTAGGGCCCCGCCACGGACACCACTTCCAGCAGGTATTTGTGTCCTGGAGCCAGGCCAGAAAAGGTGAATTTGCTGGTGCCTTTCCCAACAGATACATTGGCTGCCACAATACCTGATCCCGAATGATACAGGAGGAGCCTGTAACTGTCTTGTCCTTGGGGCTCGGCTCGCCAGGATGCACTCAGCCTGTTGGGATACCCCTGGTTCGTCATGTACACATTGCGAGGTGCCAGGGGGTCTGGAGAAACAGGATGGGAGACATGTCAGTGAAGGGTCTGAGGACATCATTGCCTGAGTATCTTGGCAGTGTCATCAGAAGAGATGCACTATACAGGACAGGGTACATCGTCTGGGCTGGATGGCTGCATCCACCAGCCTGGAGGCAGCTAAAAGCATCTTCTGCAAGCTTCAAGCAGTTCCTGTCTGAGCAGAGACAGCCCTGTCCCAGATGGAGATGGGTGAGGAGGGAGCAGTCAGTCAGCTAGAGGGGAGGGGAAGGTGAATGCCCTGACTGCTGCTCCCCTCTCTGTGCCTCTCCTCTGCAGCACAGTCCCCAGAACTTCAGCCAGCCTAATCCAGGCTGGTGGAGCTGATGGTGAGGGTGGGCAGAGCCCTGCTCACTGCCATGGCACTGACATGCCCTTGGGTTCAGGCAGGGCTCAGGGTCTGCCATGAAGGTCAGCAGGACCATGTCCTTCGCAATGAGCTTTCGTGACTGCCCTGCAAGGCACACATCACCCTCAACACAGGGTACTTACACGTCCAGTTGCTGACATTCCCTGCAGGTGTCTGGTAGGGCCCCGCCATAGACAACACCTCCAGCACATACTTGCTTCCTGGGGCCAATCCCGTGAAGGTGAAGTTGTGGGTGTCTCTCCCAAGAGATGTCGTAGCTGCCACGGTGCCCAGCCATGTGTGGTACAGGGTCAGTGCGTAGCCGTCTCGCCCCCCGGCCGCAGCTCCCCAGGACGCACTCAGCTTGTCAGGGTGCCCCGTGCTCAGCAAGCGCACGGCGGCTGGTGGCAGCGGGCCTGGGGAATCACCAGACCTGATGTTAGGGACTGGAGACCATGCAGAAGGAAACAGACACTTGACAGCACACTGTGCAGCAGGACAGATGCTCCCTGAGGGCTGGGACTTGTAGACACTCTCTGGCGCACTCCTCCTCACTTTTCTATTTTCCCTCCCCATCCCACTTCACCTTTTGTGGTCCCTCACATGCCAACCCTCCTTCATCCAGGTCTCCCTCGTCCCAGTAGCCCAGCTGGAGCATCACTGCGTGCACACGTGTCCTCCAGCACCCAGCTGGCGTGAAGCTGCCTGGGCAGGGCTGGCACAGCATTTATACTCTGTCCAGCCCTAAAATCTTTCTGTGTGGGGAGAAATGCTGGACTAGTCCATATCCAGAGCAAAGACCCATTCTCCTGGGAGGACTGGATTAGCCTCTTGTATTGTGACGATTCATTTCATAAACTTTTATGTAATGTGGTTACTACCTGCTGGAGGAGACTCAGCGAGGGTGTGAGTGCTCCTGTAGACAGGGAGATGGGGCAGCATGGGCAGGGGGATGTCCCCATGTGGGCACAGGTGGGCAGCCTTGCATGTCATCACCATGTACTTGCGTAAGTCTACAGTTGACCATCCATGTGCCCACAAGGGTAACAGTGTGCCCCTGCACTAACCGCTGTGTGTTGCACCCACGCACACATGTGTGCACATCTCCAAAGGCACTAGGTCACCTGTAAACCTCCCAGGCTTCCTCAGGACCGCCCAGTGGTGCAACATCTCTCACCCCTCTGCAGGGGACATTCCTCTGCGCACTCACGTGTCCAGCCACTGATGTTGGGTGCTGCTGCCTGGTATGGTCCAGCCGTAGCACTGGCTTCCAGGGAGTACTCGTATCCTGGGGTCAGAGCCATGAAGGTGAAGTTGTGGGTGTCTCTCCTGAGTGAGGCTGTAGCTGCCACGGTGCCCAGCTGCGTGTGGTACAGGGTCAGTGCGTAGCCATCTCGCCCCCCAGCCGCGGGTCCCCAGGATGCGCTCAGCCTGTCGGGGTGCCCCGTGCTCAGCCAGTGCACAGCAGCTGGGGGCAACGGGCCTGGGGAGGAAAAGCAAGTCACTGCCAGGAGCCATGTCTGGGCTGAGGGAAAGGAGAAGCTCCATGTCTGTGCCAAGCCTGTGCAGCGGGAGGTGGGTCAGCCCTGCAAGGTCCTGAGGGCTGGCTTTGCCCTTGACTCCTCCCTGGTGCTGCCTAAGCCTGTGGATGGCTGTGGATGGCTACCAGGGACCTGGGTGGCCAGGCCACAGGGTCGTGCACAGACTCCCTGTGCTGCATCCAGCTGGGCACGAGCACTGGGTGCTTGCGTGGGTAGGAGAGGAAGGCAAGATCTGGCTGCACCAGTATGGCCTCTGATTTGAACTGGGAAGGCGCAGACCTGGAGGATACCTGGCTGCAAGGACAGCATCATACTCACGTGTGCAGTGGGTGAGGTTGGGGGTGCTGGTGTGGAAGGGCCCAGCTGTGGCCCTCACTGCCACGCTGTAGCGGGTGCCAGGGCTCAGGTTCCTGAAAATGTGACTCCTGGCATCCCCACCCAGCACCATGCGCCCAACACGACTGCTGGAGGCTGTGTCATAGACATCCACCACGTAGCCTTCTGCTCCTCGCCCTGTTGCTGCCCAGGAGGCCTGCAGTGCGGAGGCAGAGGGGCTGCCCAGGCTGAGGTTGGCGGGGGCCAAGGGGTCTGAAAAGCAAGAGGGACACAGTCAGCCCCTGCGTGCCACCACCTGCTGCTCAGTGCTATGAGCCGGCTGCTTTGCACAGTGGTTCCTCGTGCTCTGGCAGTGCTGGACTCAAGCCCCCAGCTCCCACTGAGCGGTGGGCAGGCTGGCCACCAGAGAATCTTCCAGAGAGAAGCACGGGGACAAATGGGCAGACAGTGCACGTGGCTCTGAGCGCAATATCCCCAGGGTTTTCAGCTGGACATGGCAGCGGAAATACTCAGGGCCTCTGAGGTGGGTAGGAGGGATTGGGTCTGTGTTGGGGAAGGTGCGAGGACAATGAGCAGAAAGGTGGGACAACTATGTAGAAGCTAGGGGCACAGCAGGGATGGTTTGGGATGGGAAAGGTGGCGTTGGGTGCTCTACAAGGCTCAGATGGAGGCTCTGGGGCACAGTGGAGTGCTGTGTCCAACCCATCAGACTCACGTGTCCATTGGGTGACGTTGGTGGAGGAGGCTTCGAATGAGCCTTTCACAGCAGTGACCTGCACAGCAAACCTGCTGCCTGCCTCCAAGTGAGTCCAGCTGATGTTCTGTGCATCCGGACTCAAGGTCTGGACCCGCTCCCTGCTCTGGGTGCTGAGGCTATACAGAATAACACGGTAGTGGTCCCTCCTGCCGGGGGGCTTGTTCCAGCACGTGTAAAGCTCTGAGGAGCTGCCTGGGTTGGTAAGGCTCAGGTTTGTCGGTGCAGCAGGAACTGCGAGAAAAGACAGACACATGAGTCAGAAAATAAAAGATCCAGTTCTGAATATGCAGCCATCTCCAGGGAGGAGTCTTGCTTTCCCCAGGCAGCCAGAAGCAACTGGCCAGCAATCTCTCTGTGCCTACATGGAACAAGAAGGCTGCAAGGGGCAGGAGATGGTACCTGATGCAGGCCAGTGTCACTGGCTAGGGTGCCCTCCTCTCCCTGGATGCCAACATTGATCCCTATCCCATTCTGGAGCTCCTCACAGTGCTCCCACCCAAGTCACCTGTGGGTGGTATGGATGCTTACCTGTGCAGCCAGTGACATTCTTGGGGAGGGAGCGATAGGGTCCAGCTACTGCCCAGATCCCAACAAGGTAGCAAGTTCCTGGTGCCAGCTGTGCCAGGGTGACATTGGTGCTGTCTTTCCCTGCTTCCAAGTTCCTTGCTGGTGAAGAAGAGCCCTCCTCATGCATGGTGAGCAGGTATCCATCCCTCTGCCCAGGAGGGGTCTCCCACTGCACGGTCAGAGCCCAGGCAGTGCTGACAGGGATTGCCAACAGGGAAATAGGAGGTAGTGGGACTGCGGGAGAGAAAGAGGGTTACAGGGGACAAACCTGGGATGCTCAGGACTGACTCTGGGAATGAAGGTGGGAGCTGCAGCACTGTGAGCATCTAACATGCTGTCTACAGACTGCTGAGAGCAGTGGGTTGCTCCCAGGTCAAAGCTGCGCCCTGTGTCCCAGGTGATAACAGTGCATCACTACCACAGTCTGAGACCCTCCTGTCCCAAAGTGCTGGGCCAGGCTCACAGCACGCCCCATTGAGCTGCTGGTCTTGGGATGAGGGTCCCAACAAGAGAGGCAGCATCCTGAATAGGAGACAGGCACCAGTGGGGTTGTGGGGACGTGGTCTCAGTGCCCTCCTGCAGAACAGCCCTGGTACCCCCCTCTTGGTCCTCGGCCCCTCACCAGGCTGGGCACCAGGGATGGGGATGAGTGCAGAGGAGCTGTGTTCCTACCAGTGTAGCCGATGGCAGTCTGAGAGGAGGTGCGATGAGGCCCAGCCTGAGAAATGATCTCCACACGGTATCGGGACCCTGGCTCCAGCCCCTCCAGGTCAAGCTGGGTGACTCCACGGGGGACAGACACATTCCTGATGATGGACAGGGACTCAGCCACTGAGAGCTGTACCAAGTGGTCCCTGCCACCGCCTGACTCTGCCCAGCTCACATGTAGCTCCTGGGGTCTCTGGCCCGGTTGTACACTCACGTTAGCCAGAGACAGTGGATCTAGGGGGAAACACAGCATGGAGATCCATGAGATGGTGGAGGAAAGCAACCGAAGAAACCAGGACACAGCCTGCACAGGGCTAAAGGAGAAGTGGTGGCAGCTGACTGTCAGATCTCCTGTTGTCCTGGAGGACATGCAAGTTGTCCATCCATGTTCCCAAAGCATTGCTAGCAGGCAAGTGCTGTACTGAGAAGAGAGCATTTGGCTCTCCAGTGGGCTGCTCTGCTTCATGGACAGGGAGCAGCAAGCCCAGACAGGTATCTGTGCTTCCTCTCTTGCATCCCTCTCCCACCAGTCCCAGGCTGGCCTTGAGAATGCAAGTGGTCTTGGCAAAAGGTTCAGCTTGACTGGGGAAAGCCTGAGCTGGGGAAAAGGGTCTTTTTTGGGACCCAGAAGCCCGCACACAGCACCTAACTCATGACATGTGCTCCAATTCCCAGGGGCAGGGAGCATGCAGGTCTCACCGGAGCCCTCCCTCCACCCGGAGGACACATCCATGACACTGCCAGTCTTGCAGGCAGTGACAGGATAAGCAATCCCTGCAGGAGGCTGGGGACACTTCTCACTCACATGTCCACTCAGTGGCAAAGTGTGACGAGGATCTGTATGGGCCAGCAAGTACGGTCACCTTCAGGAAGTACTGAATGCCAGGAGAGAGCCCCAGGAACGTGAAGTTGTGGGTGTTTGGCCCCACTGAGATGTTCCTCTGCATTGGATGGCTCTTGCTGTAGAGCTGGAGGTGGAACTGGTCCACATCACCAGCAGTCTTGTCCCAGAAGGCAGAGAGTCCCAGCGGGCGTCGGGTGTTGGTCAGGGTCACGCCGGCTGGAGCCAGGGGGTCTGAGAGAGGAGAGACATCCAGGCAGTAAGAGGCAGTCAAGGCGGACCTGCTGCGGTGAGGAGTGGGGGGCCTGCACGTGCTTGTACTGGGCACCCTCCACCACCTGTTCCTGGTGGGCTCAGGTCAGAAATCAGCCCTGGCATATCAAACCCCAGAACAGCCTGAGGTTCTGCTCCACAACAAACATGGGGGCAAGTCCCCCCCTTTACTGTTGTGTGACATTTGGAAAAGTTTTCTGTTCAGTGATGGGTTTCTCCTGCACTGAAGACCCTTTTACTTCCAATCTGGCTGAATGTGGCTCTGGTTATCCTTCCACTCTTTGTCTATGCATCCCTGCCCCTGGTTCCCCCACCTCCCCATACATGGTCCACACTCTGCCTTGCTTCCATGCTGCAAGCTTTCTGCTCTCGTTGGCAGGCCATTTGCAGGTTGCAATTTGCAGTAGGGTTGAGGTAGGGGTATCGCACTCACACGTCCAGTCTGTGGCCGATTGCACAGGGGATCTGTAAGGTCCAGCCATAGCAGCCATCTCCAGTGTATACTGTCGCCCAGGGACCAGGTCCTCAAAGGTGACATTTGTCCAGTTCTTCCCCACAGTTATGTTCCTGACCTGCTCCTGGGACTTGGTTTCCCAGAGGGTGCCTGTGTAGCCGGTGCTGCCAGCGGGAGCTGCTCTCCAGGAGGCCTGCAGAGAGCTGCTGTGGCCCTGATTGCTGAGGGTCAGCTGCTCCAGGGGCAAAGGATCTAGGAAAGGAAAGGTCTAGAGTCAGAGCTGCACCCAGACTGGGGTCACCTGGCAGAAGTGCAACCCTGAATGTGCTGGGATTGGACCCCCTTCCCTGGGAAAACCCACATGCAGGTGCCCTGGTCACCCACGGGGTCTGAGCAGGCCACTGTCCCCCTGATGACACCCATACACCAGTTTGGCAGGGACTGGGCCAGCACAGATTTCAAACTGGCATGGTACAAGAGGACTGCTCTGGTGCTGGAGAAGGTGGTGGGTGGTGTGGTGTGGAGCAGGGTGGTGGAGAGGTGGTTCAAGGCAGATGCAGCCTGAGCAGTGCCATAGGTGGGTGGCCAAGGGAGGAAGAGGAGGGCACCGGGCTCTGGTGACCCTTGTGCCGGGCGATTGGGATACAGCCTAGGGTCAGAAACATCCAGCAGCACCTCTGCTTTCCTCCTGAGCCTTTTGCCCTTTTATTGCATGAAGCTGCAGAAGACCTGTGCTATCACATGCCCTGAGGCACGACATCGCAGAGAAAGGCAAAATCCAGTGGGAACGCCGGGGCTGGCTGTGGCGAGGGGTGTGGCACTCACATGTCCAGTTGATGATGCGCCGGGGTGAGGATGTGTAGGGGCCAGCCATGGTGCTGACCTCAAAGGTGTAGAGGGTCCCAGGGCGGAGGCCCTCATAAGTGAAGTTGGTGACACCTCTGAGCAGCGAGCTGTTCTTCATGGGGTGCTCCATGGGGCTGAGGGCCAGCACGTAGCCCTCTCCCATGGCCTCCTCCCAGCTGGCTAGTAGGCTGTAGGGGCTCCCCTGGCTGGACAGACTCACACCAGATGGTGCCAGTGGCTCTGCAAGGAACAAGGATGGGATTGTGCACTTCACTGCATGGGACAGTGCATCAGACAGCCAGATTGCTCCCACGACACTCTGCAGTGGTCCCCCCCATCAAACATGGGCAGCCAGGACTGCAGGGAGAGCCTTTTACTGCTCTTGGCACCAGGGTCTGGGTGAGTGCCTCCCCACACTGTTTGAGGCTCCAGTCCTTCCTTCCTGGAGTGGCAGGGCTCGGACCGCACCTCACCTGCGCCACCCCACCCTCCCGGGGGTGGCCGCTCTGGGACAGCCCCAGCCATGGCTCCACCAGTCACCCAGGGGGACTGGGCACAGGGAGGTGCTGCTCTGGGGGGACTGGTGGTGCTGCACTACCCACGAAACCAGCTGCTGTGAGCAAAGTGGGGGGGACCTGTCTTGAAGCCTGCCAACCACTGAGTCCAAAGGTTACTGAGTAGAATCTGGTCTCGATTCATGCCTGCAACTACTTGCCAAGGACCTCCAAGTCCACCCTCATGAGGAACTGTGGGGCAGCAGACTTTGGTACTCTGGCCCACATCCTGCTCTTGAGACCAGGTGCCACTGCACTGCACAGCCCCATCTCTGCCCCTGCTGCGCCCCCCTCCCCAGCCCACCAGCCTCCCTCCAGACATCAGCCCCTCCATCAGGTGGTGGACATGGCCTCGAAAGGAAATGCTCGGGCTTTCTGCTTACGTGTCCAGGCTGCTGTGCTGCGGGCTGATGCCCGGTAAGGCCCAGCCACTGCCGTCACCTGGACAGAGTATTGCTTCCCGGGGTTCAGCCCGTGGAAGGTGACGTGACTGTTGTCTCCACCGACGGAGATGTTCCTCGTCGGAGCGCCGTCCTCTCCCTCCTGCAGCGTCACCAGGTAGAAGTCCCTCTCACCCACTGGGGTGCTCCAGCGAGCCTGCAAGGAGCTCTGCTCCTCTGCACTGCTCAGGGTCACATTGCCAGGGCTCAGGGGGTCTGGAAGGGAATGGGATTGTGTGCGTCAGAATTATGGGGTGCTCTGGACCCCATACACCCCTGAACCTTGTTTCCTACTTCCTTATCTGCAGGGTTACATCCAGCCTTAGACATTGTTTTTGGGCGTGCTGTCTCCCTAGCACAACCATTCCTGGTCTAGTAGAGCCCAGACAAAGCTGGCAGCCCTGCTGGGAAATTCCTAAAAGTCCCCCTCCTCTCCATTCATGTCCCATCATGAGCTTGCTGATATTCCCAGGAACTGGCCTGGACCGGACTCCTGGCCGGATGCCCCTGGCTTGTGTGTCTGGCATCAAGGACTTTTGTTCAGCTGAGTAGATCAGAGCTGCAGACGGCAGCAGCAGGGATTGAGTCAGACTCACTTCATAGCATAAACAAACCAGCTGGGGGTGTGGAGGTCTTCCAAAATCCCAGCTGCAGAGACGGCTGTGAGCAAGCTCCAGCTTCCCAGACCGGCAGATGGAGCAGGGAAGAGCTGGAGACTTGTCACCTGGTGGCACCCAGGTCCTTCCAGCGTACGCCTGAGCAGTGTCTCTGCCTTGGGCCAGGGCTGGTCACTGGCCACAACAGCCCTGAGTTTGCAGCTTGGTGCCTCCATAATTTGTTGACCCTCACTAGAGAGGGCCAATGCTTTCTTGCCATTTGGCATGAGTCTTGCTCTGTCCAGGAGGCAAGGCTTGCTCTCTCCATTTCCCCCCTGGTGTTCCTTGGAACATCTGGGAGAGCAAGTCCGGGCCCAGAACTGTTTGCAGTGCTATGGACATGGTGTTGGCAGCAAACCAGGACTATGGTGGTGGAAGTTGCCCTCTCTCAGGGCCCTTGTCAGCCTGAGGCCAGAAGGTGGAAGAAGTTGGGTTGCATGGTGCAACTAGCTGGGGGCTGGGAGGGCTACCCTCAATCAACTTTGTGACCTGCCAGAGGCTGGCTTCCTTTGTGTTTGCACAGTACCCAGCACATTAGAGGCATCCACCAGGATGAGGTTATCAGGTGCTACCAAAATATAGCCTTGACAGGTGATATTGACAGTTTATAAAGAGCACCAAAGATCCACCTCCCTCCAAAAAACTCCAGTTCAAACCAGCTAAACTGCTATCCCTTTGCCCCGTGTTTTCTCTGCTGCTCTTGGACAGCCCTGAGGCACATGAGACCCCGGCCCCAGCTGCACTGAGCACCAGTGGGATCTGCTGCCCTTCCATCCTCCTCCTCAGGGAGAGGCCACAGGCCGATCCCAGTGCATCCCAGGGAGAAGCAGGCTAGCACTGGGAATTTACCTGCCCAGGGCACTCACTGGCCCCACTATCGCAGTGCCCCTGAGCTGGGTGCTGGAGCAGCTTTCAGCCAGGTCCAAGCAGAATTGCTCTCTGCACCCAGGGCTCTGGCAGGAGACCTTTGGATTGAGAGGCTGGACCAAAAGCAGGGAGAAAGCCAGGGCCACCGAGGTCCTCCCCCATCCCTGGCCATCCTACTCACATGTCCAAGCCGTGGCATTGGGTCCCTGCACAGTGTAGGGCCCGGCTGTGGCACTCAGCCCCAGCCAGTATTGGGTGCCTGGGTGGAGATGCTGGAAGGTGTAGTTGGTGAGGCCCCTCCTGGCTGACAGAGTCGTGGTCACCGTCTGGGTGAGGAGGTTGTGGAGCACGAGGTGCAGCCAGGCAGCCCCCGCAGCATCCACCCAGGAGGCGATGAGGCTGGTTGTGGAGCCTGGGCTGAGCTGCAGCTGGGTGGGGATGGAGGGAGCTGAGGAGAAAAGCAGGAGGCAGCGAGGTTCAGCACTGGGGCTGGGGCTTCCTGGACCTTCCTCTCTCCCCAGGGTCTCCTACCCCCACAGCTGCTCTCTGTGCTGGCATGGGGGCTGAAAGTCTGGCAGGGGTCTGCTGAGGGATGTCTCTCCCATGTCCCTTCCCAGGCAGGCTGAGGGGCTCTTGAGGTCCCTCCATACTGTCACACTACTTCAGGCTGCAGGGCAGAGGGGGTGGCAGCTCGGGTAATGCAAGATTTCTGCAGCTCCCACCAGCCAAGATCTTTTGCTAGCATCCCTAGGTTGCCCTTCTCCCATGGACATGGAGCACACAAGCAAGGCAGGACTGGGGTGCAAGGTTGTCGCCTTGGCCAAGCACACCGGGCTCATAGCAGGGATGTGAAAAACTCCCAGCTGTTCCCCATCCGACACAAACTTCCCATTTGAGCCTGGAGATCTCCTCCCCGTCTGCCCCAGCCCAGCCAGCACCCCTCCTGCCAAACTCTTTTTCCCGTCCCTTCCCTCTTGGGCAGGCACACTCATCACTCCCTACCTGTCCACTGGTGGATACTGGTGCTTGCCTGGCTGGATCCAGCCAGAGTGCTGACCTTCAAGGCATATTCACTGCCAGCCAGCAACCCGTCAAACAGGAATGTGGAGGCGTTTGGCAGGATGGACACATTTCTCACGAGCGTCTGGGAGTCGCTGTGGTATAGGGCAAGGTGGTAGCCGTCTCGCTGCCCATGGGCGTGCACCCAGGAGGCGTGCAGCATGGCAGAGCTCCCACTGCTGCTCAGGCTCAGGTTGCGGACAGGTGAAGGACCTGCATTGAACATGGCACAGACTGTGTTGGCTGGTTGCTTGGTGATGCCTGACTTGCCAGGTTGCTCAAGGGCTGGTGGTCCAGTGCCTTCATCTGATGAGGTCCTGCCAGCCAGCTCCACAGGACCCAATTCCCCAAGCACAGCACCATCACCTCCCTGCCAGCTCACCAGTCTCCCACGGGTTGTGTGGGCTGCACCATCCCCTTTGGATGAGTCTTTGCACAGTCACTCTGAACTGGGTAGGGAGGCTCGGTCAGAGACAACGCACCAGGTGCATGCTGAGAAAGGTGAAGCCATCAGCTTACCTGTGAGCTCACCTGCTGCCAGGTCCTCTGTTCCTGCTGGCCCTGTAGGTCCTGCCACCTGCCTTCCCATGAGCACCAGCCCCTGCTCCCTGCAGCCACCGCTGCTGTCTGACACCATCCCTTCTGCTGGCCAACCCTCTCCCTTCAGCTCTACTCTCCTTTTCTAGGTTTTCCAGCTCCACCTGCACTGATTTACTCAAGGATCTTCTGGAGACATGCTGGCAAGGGCTGTCATCCTCACCTGAGCTGTGGGCTCACCAGCCCTGCCCACTTTCCCCAGTCCTTGGCAGCAGCCAGGGAGGACATAGAGCACGGTTGGTGGGTGAGCCAGTGATTGACAGAGATGTGCCAAAATCATGGAACTGATGCTACTTCCTTGTAGGTCTTTCTAGACCTCCAGGCATGACATTTTTCACCTCTCAGCTCTCTGCAGTAGACATCATAGGTGACCATCATTAGCTATATTTTTTCAGGAGAAGATATAGCATGAACCTTGCCCATGCAAGGTGCAGGGACAGGACCCTTCCTCCACTTGGATGAGGGAATGACCCCTGGGGCTCTGGGGACCAGGGAAAGACCCTAATCCTTGTGGAAGTGAAGAAAGACCCGACCTCCCCACGAACTCATGGGACTCCTCACAGACCTGTACGTTGCACCCTCCAAAGCAGCATGACGATCATTGGCACGACCACTGAGGCCCTTTGACTCTGCGGTCCCTGGGGAACCCCTTACTTGTCTGTGCTGTGACTGTCTGTCTGGTGGTCTCCATGCAGGCAAGCGTGGCTGTCACCTCAATCTCATAGCGCATGCCAGGAGTCAACCCGTGGAACCAGAAGCTGGTGATGTTGGGTCCAGCAGATCCATTCTGCAGCGGTATGCCTGACCCCAGGGAGGAGAGGGCGAGCGAATATCCCTCGGCACCCCCCTCCGGCTCATCCCAGGACAGAAGGAGGGACTCCGACCGGCCACGGTCACTCACGCTGAGGTTCAGGAGGGTCCCTGCAGAGGCAAAGCCAAAACCCTCAACAGGGAGCTGTGGTGCTGCTGGGTGGCCAGCCTGCAGGGCTGGGCTCCCCATCCCACCCACTCTTGCTGCACACCTTGGCACAGGCCACCCAACCCCAAGGGCTCTGAACAGCCTTTGGAAAACACAAGAAGGTTCAGAACCCCCCATGGACTGGGGTCAAAGGCACCACGTGAAAGGGATGCTCCTAAGCATGGAACCTCTCTTCCATTGGAGAAAGACCAGAAGGCTTCAGGCCATCACATACTTTGTCCAGACAGCCCTGGTTTAGGGCAGAAAAGTTGCCCTGGCTGGGTATAATCCATTGCTTACCACCTTGGTTGGTGTGAGCCCCCAAAAAGATTGTGAAGAGCTCTGGGTTCCCAGTGAGGGAGCAGGATGGATATGGCGGTGGGGCCGTTATGCTCCCTACAATAGTCTCTGTGCGGGCTCTGACAGAGGAGAGGGCAAAGGCTGCTTTGAAGGGATCCAGGCACTGACTTCCCACTGTCCTGCCCGGTGCAGGACACAGGAAGGTGCGGTGACACAGGAAGAGCAGGACACTGTGTACGTGGCGGAAATGTGGGGCCAGATTTGCACAACCCCCTGCTGAGGTGTGTCCCTGCCTTGGCCTTGCTGCAGCAGCAAGGTCAGCACACTGCGGCTGCAGGGCCGGTGCCGTGGCATTCAGATGGAGAGCGTCTGGGGACAAGGAAGTGGCTTATGGGGCTTGGCCTAAATTGGTGGGTCAGTGGCCAAAACTGCTGTTGAATCCCTGCTCTTGGACTTGCTCAGGAACCACCTACACAAACAGGAGCCAGACAGAGCCTGTCTGTTGGGACCAAGCTGGCAACGTGACCCTTGCAGGCGCCATCTCTGCCTCCCCATGTCTCCACTAGCAGATTGTCACAGACTCCCCATCCCCAGCCTTGCTGTGAACTATCAGCTCTCTATTGCTTTCAGCCTTCGGGAAACACCAGAACAGCTCTAGTGCTAATAAGACACTTGTGTAATAATTAGCACTTAAAATTTATGACTTGCAACATTTGTAACAGGCTTACATGTGATCTGGCATGGCAAGAAAGCTTTAAACAAGCACAGCTGCTGCCCCAGAGGTCTGCCTGGGTGTTGCTTTTACACGGCAGAAGAGGAAGAGTGTGGGGTGAACCCCAGGGGCACCTTTGGGACCGTTCAGGTGTTGTGTGTGGCCTTCCCACAAAGCCGGACAGTTTCAGAACTACATGCAACATCTGTTTCATGCAATGCCATTGTTTGGAGCCTGCTGCCATCCTGAGAGCTCCACTCAGCAGATGAGTGCAAAAGGAATTGTGGAAGTTAGATGGACACAAGAGAGGAGCACGTAGTCACCCTGGGAAAGGTCTTCTCAGTGCCATCCCTGAGCAGTTCAAGTGCAGATTTAGGAACAGACTGCTCATGAAGGGTTATCTGAATCTAGCTGGGTTCCACAGGTCCAGGTGTCTACACCTAGGCCAGCTGCCCTGGGCTCCCCTTGCTGTCTACAGACACCAATTCGCAGCAGCTCATGGAGCGCAGGGCATGGCTAATGTCCTCCTGAAGACAGCCAGCAGGATTGTGCCGTGTGAAGTTCAAACAGGGATGGCTTTTCACTGTGGGCTCTTTCTTATCTCATGAAGGTACGAGTTCCCCACCCATGTCTGTCTGCTTCTCCCAGGTTTCCAACAGACTGCATCGCCTGCCTCCATCTGTCACTTGGCAATCATCATCTTCATCTCTGCAGTACAAATGTACTAATATCTGAAATGGGCCAGAGGCAATCTCCAGCCCTGAGGCCCATGATCACAACGCTGCTCATGCTCTCATAGATAAGTTCTGCTAACCACATCACAGCCAGCCACGTCCAGGTACGCCCCATGCCCTGACTGGTGCCTGGAGATCATCTGGGAGTTTCCACTGGCATGGGGCTCCGTGCAGGGCACTTAAGGATCTGCAGCTGCTGAGCTCACTTGATGCTCATAGGAAGGAAAGAGCTTGGAGCCTTGTTCATCTTGCACACTGCACCCCAGAAGGCTGATGGCTGGAGGAGGATGGGGCTGACTTCCTCCCCTTACCTGGCCATGATTTGCAGCCTGCAGTAAGTCCAAAGCAGAGTATTTACAAAGATACTCTTTACTCCAAGAGACCTGGCCCAGAACATCTGCTCATCTCACCACTCCAGGCACCAAGACCACTCTCTGCAGCCTGGGAATGTCTTTGCTTTGACTTACCTCTGTCAATGCGTGCATCCTGTCCCTCCAACCCTGCCCATGCCGTCCGGTTGCATCCCTCACCCTGGGGATTGAAGGTGTCAAGTGAGAGAGGGGCAAGCTGAGGTGGTCTGAGTTGAGACCAACGCCTGGGAGAGGTGTCCTGTGCCAGGCCAGGGGTTGGGCTGGCCAGGGACAGGTCCCACCGTGCCATGGCATCTGGGGGCTGTGACTCTCTGAGGACTGTAACCCCATTTCTCAGCGGAGCCCAGGTCACTGCTCACATCGCCCTCCCCTAGCCAAGGCAGGGAGACAGACTCCGCAGACGAAGCTTGTGGGCTGCCCTGGCCTTCTGCAAGGGTCCTGGGACTGCAGACCAACATGGGGCCATGCCCACGGGGTAGACATCACACCAAAACAGCAGGGGAACAAGGGGAAGATTTGGGGAGGGAAGAAGCTCTGGACAAGCCCGGGCAATCTCATTCCCTCTACAGGCGTCCCCCCCTTCCCATGATCATGGAGGGGGGAGGATGAAGGGACCCCAGACCTCAGTCCAGCTGCCATCCCCCACAGGCTGCAATGCGAGGGCTTGGCCCAAGAGCTCCAGAGCATCCAGCACCCTCCACACCGCAGCGGGTGCTGAGCACTCTCACGGGACACTCGTCTCCCCACAGTCTGCTCGCGAGCAGGGTGTGCCCTGCTTTAGGTTGAGGCTAGTTCCCTCCACATTAAAGGAAATATCTCTGCCCACTCCCTGTCCCGCAACAAGCCACAGAGGAGCAATCATCTTTCTTTAGTTATTTCCCCCTCGGCTCTGCTGGCTGACTCATTTCTGGCACCCCCACCGACTGTGGTGCTTTTGGGAGTGTGTGCATGGAGGGGAGCGAAGGGGCTCCGTACCCCTGGGAAAAGCAGCCAGCCAATTCCTGGGGTGAGGAGCCGTGCAGCCATGGCAGCAGTAACACGCTTGGATCCCAGGCACTGGGGCGAGAGGGCATGGGGGAAAAGCGGAGGGAAGAAGCAGCTCGTAATTGCAAACGTCGCTAATTTGGTGCAGCTGCATGGCTGGAGAGGCAGCCCAGAAATATGCCGTCATTCCTCAGCGGGGTAGGACTATGCAAAGCCCCTTGCTGCCAGCGAGGTTGGATCCAAGAGTCTGCATGGACAAACGGGGCGTTGAAGAGACAAGGGCTTACCTCTGCCAGGGTTCCCAGGAGACGTGGCACCCACAGGACAAGCAGCAGCAGCAGCAGCAGCAGTGGTGGTCTCATTGGGACCAGGGTGGCTGCAGATTAGAAGGATGACAAGTTGAGGGGGTAGCTTCTCAGCAGTGGCTGTCCCCACCCATGGCAGCGAGGGGCTGCCTCCCCACATGCTTTCCACACGCAGGTGACAGGATGACATCAGTGGGGACCGTCGTTGCATGCCAGTGCGTTGCACATCAGCCGTGCCAGCTGTCCTTGGGCAGGAGCAGAGCGCGCCTCCGGGCTGGGAGAAGTCCAGTGTGTGTGTGTGCCTCTCGCTGTGTGCATTTGCTATTGTTCCCGCGGATCTGTGTCCCTCTGCGGTGACTCTGCAGCTGTCCGTGTGCGAGCGTGTGCGTGCTGCGGCCAGAGAGCTGCTTGCCGGGGGGCTTGGAGGGGGGGCTCTGGCTGTGGCTGGGTCTCTGCACGGCTGGAGCCCGGTCTGGCCATCAGAAGGCGTTCTGCAGAGTTGTGGGAGTTGGTGCCGAGAGGGGAGGAGAGGGGAGGAGACAGGACAGGACAGATGGCGGCTCTGAGCTGGGAGGGAGTGCCCAAACCAGCCCCCAGCAAGGGGAGGAAGGGCGGACCGCAGCCTTCAGCAGCTGGGCTTGGGATGCTGGAGGGAGCACTGGCAGGAGTGCGGATCCGGGGTGCTGTGCACCTCGCAGCTGTCTCTGACTGGCGTGTTCGTGCACCTTTTAGCTCTGTATGAATGAATTTCTGCACCGGGCGCTGATGGGGAACGGGCGGTTTGGTCACGCTGGGTGAGGAGGGAGACGTGTGCCTCTGTGTGATGCACAGGGGCAGGCAGATTGGAGCTGGGGGCGTGCACGTATTGTGAGAGGTTCCTGCAGACTGCGTCCCTCAGGTGCAAAGATGCCTGGACCGCACTTTGCCCATTTGAGGGGTTGGCTGGGTCTGAGCTGTGCCCTTTCTGCTCATGGGTTGTACTCTGCAGTGCTGCCATGGGGAGCACGCCGTGCCCCCCAAGCTGTGTGCAGGGCTGTCGTGCAGTGCTGTGCTGTGTCTGTGCAATGTGTGGCAGGATGCCAGCTCTGATTCAGAGCGGAGATGCCATTGGCTTCACATCAGCGCTGGAGATCTGGGACAGTGCTGGAAGACGTTCAGTGATGCATCTATCCCGGAAGCCAGTGCAGCCTGTGTGGCCGTGGGAGTCTGTCCCAGTAGCCAGCACAGCCACCAACGGGGGCTATTCAAGCTCCGCTTGTTGCTGTGAGCCACTGAGCTGCCAGGGTGGGACACATCCCCCAGCTGGCCCCAGGACAGCAGATTCCCTCCCCCCAAAACTTGGATATTCATCAGGTGGGACCTGTGACAGACAGATCAGCCACCAGTGCCTGGGCAACGACATGGGAAAGCCCCAGCCCCTGCAGGTAACTGAGAAGTAAGGGGGACACAAGGGCCCCCATCTAGGACCCATTTCCAACCCCAGGTCTGTCCTCGAAATCTCCTGACAGCCCCCAGGCTGATGGGACCAGCTGGAAAAGGGGACAGAGCACATGAGTCCCCTTCCCTTTGCATGGGGGACAGTTAATTCCCCAGGTCCTGGCCAAATGGGACTGGTGCCAGAAGTCCTGCTCCGTGGTCACAGTCACGTCTCTGCAGAGGTCCAGTCCCTTGCCTGGAGCAGGCTGAGGGTAAAGGAGCCCTGGCCCTGCTGCTCAGCCAAGCAGTGAGAGCTTATTTATCACCTTCATGCCCTCTCTGAATGACTCAGGGGTCCCCCCAGCAGAAAGGCACAGCTCCACAACCAGAGACCCTTCGAGTCACTCTGTCCCCAGACCTGTCCTCCCCCTGGACCCTGGACATGGACATCAGGGTGGGAGTGGAAGGCAATGCCTTGGTTCCAGTGCAGGCTTTTTTAATGCTTGATACCGGCAGCTCCGGGGAGGGCTGAATGTCAAAAATGCAAGCGGTGCATCTGCTCAGCTGATGGAGGCCTAGGGTAAAACCTCTGGCTCTTAGGGTTCCCCTGATAAGCATTTGGAACTGAGGTCCACCAGCACCTGGGATGATGGGGATGACCCATCAGCCAGTGCCACAGACAGCTGCAGATGCCCATCACTGCTGCTGGACATCGGTGTGACGGGGGGGTAGCCATCCCCCAGAGAAACTGAGTGCAAGGTGTGTGCTCATGGATACTGGAGATGATGTCCTCCAGCCACTTAGATGGATGGGGAGGGAGTCCCCTCCATAAGCCGAGGCAGAGGGAGGTTCGGGGCTGGCTGCTGCCATCTCCAGAGGGCTGGGGACTGTTTTAAAAGGCCCCTTTCCAGAGCTGGGCAGCTGCAGCCAGCTGGGAGGAGGCTGGAGCTCCCCACAGCAGTGAGGGCTTGCCAGGTTTACTGGGGGCCCGGGGCGGGATCTGGGAGGTTACAGCTGGCTGGTCCCCAAATGTGTTTGCAAAGAGACTTTTGGTGGATGTCCCCATGTGGGTCTGTGGCGGGGTGCAGGCTGTCAGGCAATGC